CTCATCCACCTTGTCTCTCTCTCTTATCCTGGGACTAGCAGGGCTACAACCACACTGCAAACAAATAGGCTAAGATAGTCCAAATAACATACCATCAGATTTTCAATACATTTATTATGATTCACGTCCTTTAAATGATTTTTTTATAATGGTTTAGAAACAATTGTTCTACTCTACTCAGGTTCTTACATTGTGCTGATCACCATGGTGTCTGTCAATGGTACTATACCTGTGAAAGAGGTTGATTATATTGTTCAGCAAAGCAATAATTTTACTGATATTTCTCCCCAGGAAGATGAGTGAGATGAAACACGCTGAGCCATAGGAAGGGCCGCTAAGGGAAAGGGAGACATGAAATAGACCGGTGTCTTTCCCAGTTGTTGTAAAGTACAGCACTGCCTTTGATCGTCTTTTGCTCAGAAAATATAGTTCACTATAAAAATATAGTTCAGAATAAGTATTTATCCCACTGCATTTTTTTACCCTCTCCAATGTATTTGCAGCATTCCCTAGTTTTACATTTACTGCAGTATTTACAGTATTTCTAACTTTAAGGTCCATGGATTGTAAAATGTCCACTTTTTAACGCTGCCCACTGTGTAAGCTTCATATGTGAACCCACCGTTAAATTAAACAGTAATACTACACAAACAGATTTATTGTAGTGGCATTATGAAAAACCTTTTGCTGTTTCATTATGCTCAGTTATATTTTTTGCATGTTAAATAATAGGTCAGATTCTACCAATCAGTACTTACTTGGGCCCTTGTGAGGGGGGCATGCCCTCTCCCTAATAGGAAGGCAGCTAACAAGCTGTCTGGGGCTCAGCCAAAACTAACAAACCACAACCTCAAGGCAGAGACCTTGCCCCCTGCTCCTCCTCTTCCCCCTAAGGCCCTGCCCCCAATCAAGCTGGAAGCCAGAGCCAGAAGCCAGACCCAGGCCATGGGAAGAGCCATCCAGGGAGCCTAGGCTGCTGTGGGGAGCCTCAGACCCTCCACCTGCCCAGGGCAGCGTATGCCGGTGGTGCAGACACAAGCCAGGGGCTGCTCTCGGACACTTTGACCCCCTGCCCAGGACAGGTGGAGGGTCTGGGACTCCCCAGAGTGGCCTGGGCTCCCTGGGCAGCTCTTACCATGGCCCAGCTCTGTCTTCTGGCCTGGCCAGGGGCGGGGCCTCAGGGGAAGAGGAGGAGCGGGGTGGGGGCACCACAGTTCCAGTGCTGGTGGCCCCTCACTTCTACACAGGTTCCTGCACTTCTGGAGCCCAAGGAAGAAAGTCACCTGTGGTGGGAGAGGCGCACTGACTGGAGATGCTGCTACTGCTACAGCCAGTTACACGTATTGCTTCTTTGAATTGGACACAAGGGTGCAGCCATTGAACTGCACTGTGCATGGAACCATTCTGGCAGGGGTGTGGTTTTAATTAGACACCTTGATGCAAATGATCTTCCTCTGGCTTTGCCTTTCCCTGTCAGCTGGATGGTGTTGGCAGAGGTGATTTGCTCTCTCATTCTCTCTGGCCACTCACTGACATGGTGGCTTCTTTGCATGATGCCGCCTTAAAGCTGGGACAGGCAAGCCAGGTGTGCAACCTGCCTCCCTCCTCAGCCCTCCCCCCAAAGTCTCAGAGCCTGCTTCAACTGACTGGGGACTTGCAGAGCTTGGGCAGTGGAGCCAAAGACATAGGGGGTAGGGAGAGGGAAGCAATTACTCAGTCCTGGCTGCAGGAAATGAATTGCACTCTACAGTGCTGGGCTTCAGCTGTGGGGCATGGGGCTCTGGGCTTCTGCTGGGGCTTGGGGTGGGGGTGGGGGAAGGCTCCTGGGCTCAGGGCTTCAGCCCAGTGGCTTCTGCCAGGGCTCGGGGCACCTGGGCTCAGGGCATCTGACCTGCAATTTCTGCTAGGACTTGGAGGAGTAGGCGCCCGGGGTCAGGGCTTCAGCCCAGGGTCGCTGGAACAGGGGCAGCCAGGGGGCCATGGCCCAATTACTTTTAAAAGTGGGAGGGCTATGCCTTTCCACTTTTTACCTGCCTTAAGGCTAGGGGTGCCCATTTTGGTTGGCCATATTCCTGGAGGTTTCATCAGAGACATAATCTTTAATTAAAGATTAATATTTAATTCCTGGAGACTCCAGGGCAATCCTGGAGAGTTGGCAATCCTACTTAAGGGTGAGCAAAGGGAGGGGATGGAGAGGAGCAAGCGGGAATGACAGAGCCTTGGGGGAAGAGGAAGTGGGGGGGGGGCAGAGCTTTGGTGGGGAGAAAGGGGTTGTGCAGAAGTTTCCAGCTTCTTGTAACCTCGTGGCTTCTGCAGGGGCTCACGGTGCCCATTTTTTCAGAGGTCCCCAAATTAGCGCTAATCCACCACTGCCTCAAAGCTTGCTTGGCTTGCAGGGAGGAAGCTTAAAAAGGGAAAGCCTGCCACAGGATGGGACAGAAACTAGAGCCAGACTGCTGTGCTTCAGAGACAGCTGGTGACATCGGTGAAGAGGGAGACAGTTGCACTGAGACTGTCTGGACCAGATACAGAACAGCTGCGACAAAAAACAGGAATGTCGCAAATGGACTCAAATCCTGATCAGGACACTAACAAGTCAAGCCCCAGAAGGGCGACTGAGAAACTGACCAAGAGCCTGAGCATCATTTTCCCCCTCCCCCTTGCCTGAAACCCCCTGAAGCTCTTCTCACACATAGAAGTTCCCCTTGGAAATACTAACTGCTATAGAATGGGCGTTACTGAAAGCTGAGGGGTGGAGGATGGACTCTAACCATGATCAGGACACTAAAAAGTCCACAGACCAGCTAGGCCCCAAAGAGGTGACTGTAGCCAGACAGCCAGCCCCCCCCCCCCCCCCCTCAGACCAGCATTGCTGGAAACACAGGAGGAAGCAGGAACAGGGCACTTAACATATATTCCAGCACAGCCTTTGAAGCACAGGTGTGCTGCTACAATGTGCCTCTGGGAACAGATACGACGATTAAGCTCACAGCAGGCAAAGGCCCTGTGACAGACCTGGCTCTTAGCCCCTACTAAGTAGCGTGATGCACACACACCAACATCCTAGGTGGGAAAATATTTACCCTGATAAAAGAAATGTCCAGTAGTCGAAACTTATTGTTTCTCTCCCTTGCAAGTGTAAACTACTCTTGCAAAAGCTGGCGTCACCCAGACAGACCAGCCTCAATTTGGCATAAGAAAGGAGAAAGAGAATAAAGGAGTACAGAGGTATAAGTAGGGGACCTACAGCACCATGATTTTTGAGTGCTTTTCACTATCTATCTGCTGGTCAGATAAGTGACAGCCTCCCAAGGCTTCTGCAGCTAAGAGGGTCCCTACGCCTTGTCCCTTATTCGTCTTTCCGCGGAATTGAGTGACCGATCCTGGCTTGGCACCGCTGGAATCGAGAGATGCAAGGAGGGTAAGAAGCACCCACACCTGATCTCCTATCTTTAGTGTACACATATTTTGAAATAGAGCTCTATACTTTGTTTTCTTTCTTTGGGATTGTGGCTTCAGTTTTGTAACTTGTTTGTGTGTGTAACATCTCTACATTTAAATAAGTAGGCACTAGCAATTTTGTAACCACATGATTAGAATCTAGCTTAATAAATTTTGGTAACCATTTATGCATAAGCCTGACTTGTTTTCTCTGGTTTACTGTAAAGCAGCCATCACAATTAAAGAACCTCAGCCGTTTTGGCTCTAAAGCCTGGCCATTAGGTGAGAGTACTAAGAGCCTAGCGTTGAGTTGTGCCGCCTCCACGGGGCAAACTCTTGGGGCACCTGTCAGTCAATCCTGGCTGCCCGCTGCGAAGGAGCTCTGAGCTCTAGCAGTTAAAGTCACGGGTGTGGAGAGGCTCTTAGTGCTGCCATCGGGGCACCTGTCAGTCAGTATTGACTGCCCGCTGCGAAGGAGCTCTGAGCTCTAGCAGTTAAAGTCACGGGTGGTTAGGACCTTGGGGCATCCGTCAGCCTAGCCCGGGCTGCCCGCCGCGAAGGGACAGTGCGTCCTAGCGGTTAAAGTCACGGATGGTATAAACGGGCATAGCTGGCACCTCACCAAACATCCTTGGCCGTCGGCCAACAGTGACCGAGAGACTGCCCAAGAGACACAGCACTTTTTAATTTCCTTTTTCTTTTCTTTACTGTGATTCAACCTGTCCTCAGGAATGGGGGAGGGGAGGAGAAGAAGGGAGAGAACTTTTATTGCTTGGAGAGACTCTTGTATGCCCTGAGCAGGAGAAGGACTCTGAGTGCCAGAGAAGGGAAGCAACCCAAACCATGGTGCAGTGGGGCTCAAGGGCCCCCCCGCCCCATCCACCACAGCCCTGGTGTAATGATATTTAGCTCCAAACATGGGAGTCGTGCCGCTGAAGTCAGCAGGACTACATGTGTGATTTTGGTAAAGGTTTGCAGTGTCAGGCCCTATATGTAAAGGTATTTAGGCACCTAAAAGCATAGATAAGTACCTAGTGGGATTTGCTGCCTCGTTAAATATCTTTAAAAATCTAGCCTTATGTCCTCAGACTCTGAAGATAGAGACTTTCTGAAGCAGTGTTAGTCACTTTTATTACACATAAGTAAATTTAAAAAATATATGATTGACATGGTCATCTTTTCAGTAGGTGTACTGATTAGAAAATCTTATATTACTCTGAATTTTCCATTCATGGAAGTGGCTGAACTAAAATCCGTCACTCTTCTACTAGCTGAAGCTTTTTCTTAAAAACAAACAACCCCCACCCCCACAAAACAAACCCAAAGAAATGGCTAACATTTACATATTCAAAAGTTGCAGCTCTAATTTAAGTTGTAAATTAACAGTTGTTTTGGTGCATTGAGGGATACACATATTATATGTCATGCTATAGGTAAAAGAAAAAAAAATCCTGAAAATGTTCTCTTTCATGCCTTTTTTTTTTTTACACTTCCATCACTGCGTAAAATGATAAACATACAGCCCCCCACTGCAGAATAAAACAAAGACAGAAGGCAGGTTTTATTTTCTTATACAGTTTTTTTTAATTCAGCGTTAAAGAAAGGAACTTCATCAACATTGATTGTCATTTACAGAAAACATTCAAAAATCATGTGTGCATTATTATGGAATGCTAAAAGTATTGAACTAATAAATTACAGGACATAAAATAAGACAAAAATCTATTACATTCTAAAGCAATATAAAACCTTTTTATTCGACAGGGATGCTGGTTCTAGGGTATTCATGATCTTAAAAAAAACCCCTCAATGGTCACTTTCTAAATGAATCAGGCTGTAGTTTTACTCACATACACATAAATTAGGGCTCATATATTAAACAGGGGAGAAAGAGAGCAGAGAGAGATCAGAAGAAAACTGCAGATGTAAAAACAGTGGATGATATCCTTGCTCTGTTAAAGTCAATATGACTTTTGCCATTGACTTCAATGGGGCCAGAGTTTCAACCAATATGTCTCTTTGTCATTTGTGGTTTTGCTTTTTGCATCTACAGGCTAGTAAAAATACATCATTCATGATTAATTTATTATTATTATTATACAATTAAGCTTCAGAAACAAAAATCAATGTTGGCTCTAGGAGGCATTTAGCTTTAGAAAGTACTTTTCATTCTGCTTTGAGTGTGAGTCATTTTTTATTTGATTTTTTTTACACTCGTCATCAGGCAATGAAGCTCTTGTGTGTTGCTAAAGTGGTGAGCATGCTCACTGTGTAGCAAGTTACCCCGCCTTCCCCCCCCAAAATCAAATTAAATCAATTTACAACAATGTAGCTACAGCCAAGCACCAAATAGCTCAGGGTTTTGAAATCTGGGAATTAACATCTCACTTCACGCTAACAAAAGTAATTGGAAATAGGATAAAAACATTAAACCTTTGAAACTTGGAAGTATATGAAAAATCATATCCGCTCACAATCCTAAAAGCAAGGAAGCATTTTCAGGGATATTAAAAATATTAGAAAGTTTCATTTAAATCTAAATAGCTATTTTTATTTTATTTATAAATTGGTAATCATAAAATACTAGCCATTAAAATCATATTTAGGATGCAGGAAAGGCATCCAAATGGTTTGCATGTTATTTATGCTCCTGCTTGTGTTGTTATAGCTGTTGATACACTGGACACAGTTTCTTTTTTCTATTGTGATCTTTAAAATGTTTATTTGGCGAAGGTCAGTTATGGCTTCAGATTACAGCTAATGAGTGGCCTGACCTCAAATCTGAATAAGAAATTAAAAGCATACAAAAATATTTAGTTCATGGGAAAGAAGAATTTGTTTTTATTAATATAATTCATGCTGGAAAGATTCATAAAAGCCATACTCTGTAAGGAAACATTATTTGCTTGAGTAACCTTTTGCAAATTGTATTGTTCAAATGCGGTCTTCAGGTATTATTAGCACAATATTCACTTTACAGACTCATTGGGAACAGGTGTCATTGACAGACCTGTCTTATTCTTCCCCCATTACAAGCAGAAGTATACTCTAAACACCAATGGCTGATCAAAAGGCTTTAACTGTTACAATCAGTTTCCATTAAAAACTGAAGAAAACATTACACTTATAGGAAGCAAGTACATAGTTTGCTCTTTGATGTTTTTTCCTGTTTAAAAAAAAAATTGTTACAAAGTCTTATGCTTAAACAGAGACATAGAAAAAATCAGTGTATTCACTGTCCCAAGTTATTTACAGCAAAAATTACAGAGACAGCATACATAGTAGTAGACCTTCCACAAGCATATATTAAAAGTAATTGCTTTTGAAAAAATATTTTATTTGTCCTCTACATTTCTACAATACATACTCAGTTTCTGTTTGTTTTGTTTTTAGTACTTTCTTTAGTGTTAATCAGATGAGGCAGACAATGCAGTAGTAAAATAAGGGATTTCTGTAGTCATTCAGCTTCCTAATTCATTTATATTTGTTGTCCATCAATTACAGCCAGGGCAATTAGTTTGACATGGGAATCATCCCACAGAGATTAGCATAAAACTCAAAACACCCCTACATTTTCTTGAACAGGGTGTGAACAGTAGCTCAGTTAGAGTTTCCGTTGTGCTTTAGTCATGGCTACAAATACTGTCACTGAGCTGCTCCCTGTAGCCCACTGGAGGTCACACTGCAGTAATGCAAGAGGCAGAGATTACCACAACTAGTTCACTTGTTATGCTATTCAGTGATTTTTTTTTAATAATAAGTGCATGAACAAATCCCCATCTACTGCACACAAATGCATGGTCCACACTTTAGAACCTCAAAGGTTTACATCATTATTAGAATTTCGTATTAACAACAACAAAAAATTTGCCTGATTCAGACACTGAAATGACACATTTAAAGAAAACAATTATAGTGCATTTGAATCCCAGAAGAAGCTGACAGACTAATCTATTTACTTGATTTCTTAAGCTGGGCGTCTAATCAAGACAAATATAAGTGCTTTTTTTATAAGCTGTTTTTAAGTAGAACAGTCTTCAAGGTAAAGTCTGTTCTCTGCGGCTGCCCATCTGGCCCTATTTGTTCTTCAATGCATTTGGGCTTTTGCTGCTTGAATAATAAGGGCCCAATGTGGTTACAAAATTGAAAACAAGGAGACAATTTTCTAATTCTGTCCAGATATAGTTTCACTGTTGCCAATGTATAGCAATAAACAAGGAGTGTTGCCTTGCCTTGAAGCATATACATGTTTCCCAACAGCAGTATCTTCAATCAAAGTCCAACAAATATGGAAAAACATTGTCATATCTACAGTAGATGAAGTTTTTTCTTTATGTTACTGTACAGAAGACAGCGTGCAAAGCAAACATTTTCTGCATGTATAGTTACAAAGAAACACTTAGAATTTATTGCTGCTATATTCAGTGATGTTTTCTTTCACTCTCCCTATATGATGCGGTTGAATTGTTAGGATGATAAATATATGTACGTACAATACATCGAGTCACTGAACTCACTGTCAACAGTATTATTTGCATTGTCTGCAATAAATGTTCAGGCAATATTAAGCGCCAAACAAGAATGTAGTCCTTATTCGCGGATGCTTTTGTGTGTTTCCTTAGGCTTTTAGTGTAAACTAAATGGAAGGATTGTTTAAAAAGGACACTAGCAGATTGGCATAATCCATCCATGTCATTGTACATTCAGACTGCCTTTTAGGGAGAGTTACTGATCTATTAGATACCACTGGAGAATTTTTTCTCTTTTCACACTGGTTATTTTTTTTTTTATATAGTGTAGGCTGTGCATGCAAGTGACTTTTATAGTTAAGTGATCTTCTTCTCGACCACTTCGGAGACTGTGCATTAGTGGGATATTACCATTAGTGATTTACAAGATTAACTGTGAGAACCATAAAGTCCAATCCACTTGCCTTTGCTGGCAGAGAGAGAGAGACAAAGGAGGCAGTTTCCTGCCTTTCCAGTGGAGAAGGTCTCACAAGTCTCCAGGATAAGGAGAGAGGAGGGCTTCTTTGGGGTGAATTAGCTTTAAGCATGTTCCAAAGTGGGCCAGTCACTTCACAAATCTTGAGTGTCCCAGTCATATTTGAGATTGGTCTGGGGGCTCTGCCTTCTGATGTGCTGATGCAGTACCTGTGGATCTCCATAACCTCCATGACAGGCTCGAAGTAGCCCAGAAAATTGAATAGCCTAAACTCAAGCTGCAAGGTGCTAGCTACTATGGTGATGGTTGCCAGTATAAGAACTCAGCTAGCTAGATCAATAGCTTTAAACCACTGGTAGCAGGGGCCTTAATCTCTCCCTTCCAACTCTTGATGTGAGGTTTCTCACTCATCATTCCTATATGGGGGACACAGAGGTAGAAAGGGATCCTAGCTGCCCTCACCCCTAACACACTTGGGAGAAGTGATGTGATCTTATCATGGTCAGGGGGTAGGAACAGCTTAGCTAGGTCAGGGACCTGAAGGGAATTGATTTTGTGTGTGTGTGTGTGTGTTTTCGAGTTCCCTGCACACTGAGGGCAAGGCAGTTCATGTAAACAGATGAAGTAGGGGCCTGCTTAAGGCATCGAGGAGTAGGACTGGGGAGGAGGAGCATAGACTCCCAATTCTAGTGTATTTGGAATATGGGAATATCATGCCTCTGGTGGAGTAGCAAAAAATACCAGTGTCTCAGTCAGAAATGAGCATGAGCTCAGAAGCCCATGGGTATAGGCTGGGAGAAGAGTTGGCTTAGTGGCCCAGATGGGGATTGGGTTTGATGATCTGATACATCCATGAGAGGAAAGGAGCGTAGTTAATCTCTTTCTTTTCTATTGCTTGCTCTCAGTGATTATTTCTCCATATGGTCAGTCAGCAAAATGGTGGCTGTTACTACCAACATGTTATCATTTATTCTGTGTCCCAGTCCTTCATCCTACATGCCTCCAGCCATTCTCAATATAGCCCAGATTAATGGTACCTTACCTCAGTACCTTTAAATCAAACTTTCTTTCGTCAATAGTCTAAATTCAGTAAATCATACAGAGCTAATTTACATTCTGATTCTGTGGGGACATTTCAAAAACATGAATTAATTGCTCAGAAACACTGTACTGAATGTAAAACAATAAGTGAAGAAGGTACTGCACTGAGCTGAGGCAACAATGACAGTGAATTCAGTTTCTAACCAATGTCATTTCTAATCATTGGCTTGAAAGCCTTGTCTGGATCTCTCATTTGGGCATCTAAATGGGTGCCCTTCAAAGCCTCTAACATTCTTTTCCTTATTATTACCATTATAGTTTATTTTTAATAATGAAACATCCCTGAGTGGCATACAGTGCAACATCTGCATCAAGCAGTGATTGTCATTTACAAAGTGTGAAACTTTAAAGGAAAGAAGAGGACTGATTCTCTGATCCACTGTTTTTACAGGATGTCAGAGACAGTAGGTAGTCCTTACAGTGGAGGCAGAAAGTGCTGGGTAATTTTAAGAATAGATATTTTGTTAGTGTCAGGGAAAAGGAAGCTATGTTTGTCTTGGGTTTCAGTTTCAACACACATATTTTTACAGGATGTGCTTAGCCCAAAATGATGGTATCATGTTTCATTCTCATCTCATTACCCCGTTATATTTCAGGAATGCATAATATTGTATAATAATATGGCCAAATCCTCCAGTCCTAGCAAGGGCTTTGTGTGATTCTGATTGCAGCACAACCAATGGCGATAGACTGCATGGGGAAGGATAGTGTTAGGGGGAAGATGTAGGGAGACTGAACACCCTTTGTGACATGTTGTACAGCTCCATAGTAGCATAGGGGAGATTTTGGGGGCAGAGGCCAGGACCTGTGTATCTGTGATTATTCAGATCTACCTGCCAGAACAAATTCCAAGTCCTAGGGGCTGCAGCACATCGGAGGCTACAGTAGCCTCCAGGAAGCAGCTCTACTATCATTCCACAATTTGGAATGGAGGTGGAAGGGGGCAAGCCTTTCCCCAGCCTTTGCAGAGCACTTCTCTACACAGTTTATTTACACAACTGTTCACAAGGAACAGGATTTGCCCCCTTTTCCGTGTAAATGTCATTATAGGGAGTGAGAGAGGGAACAAACCACAGCTAACCCAAAGAAAAACTCAGACTACTGCAGGCTACCTATGAGGAACATAAACAAAAAAATCAATCACTTCGTAAAACTTGTCTTGGGTAATAAACTTTTCATCCTCCCCACCTTCCTAAACACATAAATTGGCCCAATCTAAAAATCGAAGGTGAAGTGGAGGAAATAAATTATCCCATGTGCAAGGGAGCTGAAATTAACAATGGGAACCACAAAGTAAAAACATTAAAATAAGTATGAAGGCAACATTTGACATGCATTCCACAAAGCTCAAATGGGAGCTCCAAACTCTGAGGCCTTTGATTATATCAGGTGCCAAATACCTCCTGGGAGGTGCTGAGGGGCCTCCAATTTCATTATCTATAACTGGAGCTAAGGGAGCTCGACAAATTGCAGAATCAGACCCCAAATGCTGCCAATCACAAACCAATCAAAACATATATTGTATTTGGAAACTGCTCAGTTTAATTGAGTGACTTCTATTACCCTGTTTTCCCAGCAATCAGGAAAGTAATTTTCCCATTAGAAGGAAATATGACTCTTGGAATTAATTCTTTATACAAAGAGCTAACAGGAGTGACATTTACACCAAAATTAAATCTCTGTAGTAGTGTAACAAACCGTCTACATCTGTCTGTTCAGATGGTGTGGATAATTTGGTTCAATGTGGTTGAATTATCTGAATACAATACCAGAAATGGAGGAGCAGGAATCATTTTTTAAAACTTTCTTTTTTTGTTAAAGCATTGAGATTAATCAGTCATTGAAAATCAGTCTAATCTAAAGTGCTTGCCGTTAAAAAAGTCTCCATGTATCAGTAGTTAACACAGTGGTGGCTGAAATATGACATATTCTAATTGTAGGGAATTAACCTTTGCTGTCTTTGATACAACTGTGGAATCACTAGAGCTACGAATAATATATAAAATGATCCACAAATACTTTCTGAAATAAATAAAAAACTATGTTCCGTGTGCTGTTAAGTGTGGAGCTCATATTGTACATTGTTCTTAATATGGTTGTCATCTATTCATGAAAAAGGTATCAAATCCCCAATTTTTTCAAATTTGAGCACAAATGAATCATCATCCAAAAATTCGCACTAGAGTGCATGATTGATTAGTCATTATTCTCTGGGTTTTAAAAGTTTTAGTCATCCAGTCAAGGAGCAGAAACAATACCATTTTACTTAAATTACCAGTCTCACGCCACAGCTAATGAATAGCAATTAGCAACTAGTCAACATTTGCAAACAAGTTGTATCAAAATTTGTTTGTATTAGGTATTCAGTGAATACTAACAAATAAATTGGAAAAAATCAGGGTGTATGAGCAAATTATTCAAAAGCAATAAAAAAGTGGGATGCTAAATTCACAACAAATATAATTTGCAAGGAATAAATTGAATAATTATAGTGGTAACTGTTGATAACTGTTGCCTTTTTAATGGTGATCAAGGTTCTGTGAATCAGCAATTTTTAAACACCACTGTTATACACATCTCAGTGCAAAGGGGCAGCAGTGCACATTAAAAATTATTTAAGAAAAAAATCCCTGTTTTCTAATCCCAGTTTGGACACTGATTCTTCTGTAGCCTTAGGCAAGGTTCTTAATTAATTTGCCTGCGTTTCACCATTTTAAAATAGGTATAATAATCCTTATGCATGAAGAGTGTTGCAAGGTTTAACTGGTTGAGGGTAAAGTAAGTGCTTTGATGAAGAAAAGCACTATATAAATGCTAAGTAATATCTTTTGTGTCTACATCCAGTTAGCTTGACTAGAGTACAAGAGGTAAAATTCCCAAAGATAGTTGTTTTATTTTATGAAAGAAAAGGAATGAATAACTTTTCAGGAAGCAACACAGCATAATGAAGGACTGTTCTTATTTACCCACATAACAAAGCCTCATTATTTACCCCCCAAAAAGGACAATTATATTTAATCACTTACTCCATGGGTCTGGAGGATGGGCTAAATTTATGATGTCTGGTCACCACAACACTAAAACAAACACTTTGAGGGTTTTCAACTATATGTTTTTGTTCTTGTGCTTAAAAAAAGACAAGCAGGGGACTAACCATGTATAATTATAAATATATTCTTCTGAGCTGCTACCACCTGACCTGGTGGGTAGTTTTATTTTTAGCTGTATTTACATTTATTTGTTCTTATTGTAACTTATTTGCATACCTTGATTGTCTGGAGGGTCACTGAGTAAATTCGGATAACCAAGGCTTTAGACAGTAATAATATGAGGAGGAAGAATGGAATTTGGGTTCTACTCATCATTCTGCCACAGATGTCCTGCATGTCCTTTAGCAAGTCACACATTGGTTCTAAATTCTGCTTCAGATGAAGTCAAGTAAAACTCTCACTTTGGAGGTACAGGGTCAGCCCCTTAGTATTCTTGTGCTTCACTTTCCTCCTTTGTAAAATGGGGATATAAATACATTCCTCACCATACAAGGGTGTTCTAGGGTTAAATCAGTATTTGTAAGTTGTATTGAGATGGAAGTTGCTATAGAAGTGCAAATTTTATTTGTTTATTTTAACTGAGGACATTTTTGGTGTAATTAGTAATATCAGGGGACATGGCCCTGGTTTGGAAAACAAGTTATTTCAGAAATGGATTACAGTACAAAGTAATTTTGCAAGCACAATCAGGTTTACAACAAATCCTTTCCCAGCAGAACTACGTCAGCTGTGCATTTTTTGAGATTAGAAACTGGCCGGTAGAAAAAATGATTTAGTATAAAACTATAGGTTACATGCATAATAGAGGCTTAAAAAAATTATTGCTGTTGTGTCTTGTCTGTGATTACGAAAGAAAATGAGCATGTGAGACAAACAATTCTTAACTTTGCTCAGATAGGCCACTCCCATGCCAAAGAAACAGAAGAGTGGCCAGTGGGGGAAAGGAAATTCCCTTATCAGAGTTTCCTATGGATTCGTTGATAAGATGTGGGGTTTGGTCCCTGAGGAAGGAGGAGGAGGAGATTCAGACCAGAATCCTGCAGATTCCTAGAAATGGGCCAGAGGCTCAGGGCTACCCGTGTGGAAACCCTGCACCTGCACATCAGCTGTGGGGTCTTGGGGTGTCTCCTCCAGCTCCCTATCAACACAGTTCCACTGTGGAGCCATACCGACAGGGCTTTCCATGCAGGCCGCAGAAATCCCTTTACAGGGTAGTTCCACTGTGCTGAATGACTATTAATTTCTGTGTGGTTTGGGGGGTGGGAGAGTGGGGAGGGAAATTCATCTCACTGTGGCCCACACCCTCAGAATTCTCCCTCTTTGCCAGCTATCCACTCTCAGGTCCCTGAACTTATGGAGAAGCCTCCGCAGGATAAGGGGACAGTAGGGATTGTGCTATGGGGGAAGCTGAATCCCTCATCTTTCCACAGGTGGAAGGTCTACTGTGTGTGGATCTGGGAGAAACAAACACATTCTTCATTACTGCCTTTTCAGCTTGTGAAAAGCTCCCACTCCCCTCTGCCCAGTATCTGCGGCACAAAGAGACAAACATGAAGACAAACCATGGATTTGAACACTCTCAAGTTTGGGAGAATGATCTGGGACCGATTCACATTTGCATTTGAATGCTGCTACTCAGGCCTAGCTCTATTTTTAATTCAAATCTGTAAAAAAAAATCACATCCCTTCACTTGCCTATCCTGAACCTCTAATAGTAGCACCTGAGCAAGATAGTTTTATGAAATGGAAACCCTCCATTGTCATCCAACAGCTTATGGTGACTTAGCTGGCGACAGAGTGTCACTGTCATCATCACCACAACCATCACCACATCACATTTTTACTCTTCAAAGCTATATTTTGGGCCTTCTGCTGGTTCAATTTAAGTCAATGGGAGCAAGATGGGCCCTGTATCTATTTCTCTAAGAAGCGCTAATAAAATATAATGTTTTGCTGATTCACAATAATGTTCTGTTTGGGATAATTTACATTTTGACTCTGCGGTTTGGATACTTTACTGGCATGCTGTCCTGTTATGTTCATTTTTATATATGCTTTATTCCCGTTAACAGGGAGAAAATTCCAAATAACTTTTCCTCTGTCCATTTGAACCATCCAGACAAGGCTTTTGCATCATTGATACAATCTTAATGTTTGATTTACAGACTGCAGACTGCATATACACACTATATGACAAGTTTCTCAGAAGCGATACCGTCCTTTCATTATACATTGGTGAGTGAGGATTTAACTCTGCCTCACAGAGCAAAATCCTGATTGCCCAACATAAATTTAATACATGACTTGGAGAGTAAAACCTGCAGGAGAGCCTGACTGAGCATCCTTTGAAAGTAGGCATGGGATTTTTAAGCTAAAGCATGTGCATATATTACATATATATATGTCTATAGTACACATACATATGTATATTTCATATATGCACAACAATTTCCAAGACAGCTATAAATTTCTACATGCATTAAACTATCTAAAAACATAGAAATAGGCAAGTGTAATAAGTGGAATTTTCTTAAATTATATTTGAACAATAAACAGCAAGAGTAATACTGCAAAGTACCGCTCTATTCTCATTTATATCTACAATAAAATTCTATGAACAGTTGTCTCCCAAAACATACCCCAATAAAATAAAATAAAAAAGGTAACACCCAGTGTCCTATATTTGTATATTTATGGTCAGTTAAAAAAAAAAAGAAGTAAAAGAAAGACAAGAATAAAAGAGCCCCACTCAGAGGTGCATATTTACATTCTTCAAACTGTAGCGGTGAAAAATAATTCTATTAAGTGCAGGACATTCCTAGTGTTGCAGTAGTGACATTTTTAATAAGTCTTCATGAAAACATTTCTTTTGTCTTAACAGTGATGCATTCCAGGACTATGTGACAATTCTATCTTCCCCTTCACTTGCAGCCCGTGGTAGAGTCTGGATTGAAAAGCTCCTTGTACAATGGAGGAAACAGTGTATTCACTATATCTGGATGAGATTGCTTAAATACCTGCAGTTTCTCTCCATGCAAGTTGCAAAGTGCAGTAATGGTTGGTATCTTGGCTACTAACTGTAAGGGGAAAAAAAGATCAAGAAAGTGTTTAGAATAAAGCAGGGTTTCCAGAATGAACAGAGGTAGCATCCTGCTGGGTGGAAGAGTAATTGACTGTGATTCACTGACAACAGTGAAACCTGTTTAAAATGACCACACCAACCGGCAAAATGAAATGGTCTAGAAGAGACTGTTTTTTAATTAAAGGCCAAACACAATTGTCCTAGAAACCTTGGTGTTACTTTAAAGTGGCCATTTAAGAAAGAGGGCTGCATATTGGAGGTGGTCCTTAATGAAGTCTCATTCCCATAATAGCACCAAAGAACCACTAATGGTTGTAGTGAAAAAGGAAGGAAATAAGATAGGGTACCAGGGAAAAGAATAGCAATAACTCCCTTTTTTTTCCCTAGAAAAACTAAGCATATAGCATGCTGCCATTAACTGAATCAAAATACCACTACATAAACCGAGAGAATTTCCTGTGGAAAGTAACATATTTTTTGTCTAGCAACAGATTTGAGTGCAGTTACGTAAGGAGCCTACCTAATTAAACTGTCTCCATTTCCTCTGAATTTACAATTTATGTAATGCATGCCACACGTTTCAGAGTCCTTCCTCTGGCAAAACTCTGATTGAAATTAATGGGAGGTTTATTTATTTACCAGGACTGCCTTGCTTTTCTGATGACAGTTTCAATAAATTTTTTACAGTAGTACATACATTTGACAGATATGAAATCTCTAAAAATTACAAAATAAGTATCTTTGTGATCCTTACAGTGGACATGAAAAAAGCAGGGGGCCAGATTCGCTATGCGCTCTCCATTTGATTTTCTAGAACAATGTGCCTACACTTTCCCCCGATGTTAGCAGATATGTGTATAGGAGCATTTCAGTAAGAAGCCTTACCAGCCCAATTCATAAAGCTATTATCTTGGTTCTACTGAAATCTGGAAGAGACCTGCCTCATTTCAAGTTTACAAATTTTATTTCTCTTTTAAACAATTACAATTACAGCAACTCAGAAGCAAAATAGTTTGGCCAATAGAATAAAGAATAAATACCAGATTTATTCAGGATGATCTATGGCTGTGACCCGTCAGGGATAACTCAATGCTATGTTCCCCTTATGTGATTGCAAATTCCAGAATTTATTACCCCCTCAGTCGAACAACTGAAACAAAATATTATAAAATGGTAACACTTTCTTTCTTACCCTTATTCAGTGGGGAAATATATTAAGACTGAGCTTGCTTTCTGAATTCTTATATTAATATCTTCCAGAGTCTTCTGACTCTCATTCTCAGTGAATTCTTTAAAAAAAAAGATTACATTTTGAATACTGCATTAGATAATCTGGTAATGACTAAATTGCCACTTCACCTTCGGCAGCACTATTGCTGTTCCTCCACTTTGAAATCATCCTCTATCAAAGCCTTACTTTGGTTATCAGATATATAAGAGTTATAATAGAATTGCTATGTACATGTTGGCAACACTCCTGAATCTTAGGAACACTTGTTCCGTTAACATAGTCATGAACTAGCATGCTCTAAGGATCTACCTTTGCCAAGGTCTCATCATCAAGATGGTTCTTCTGAATCACATGTTGAAGTGCAAAATAAATCTTTTCCTGAAGTTTCTGGACCTTTCTTGGTTCTATTAGCCAGGCTCGATCTGACAAAGAAGAAAGGCAAGGGCTAAAGCCAACAAGAACAAGGAAAATGAACCAGCTCATTCACACATGGGCACCACATACCAGGCTGACAAGGGTTAATAATAATCTCATTATGCTGAGGGACTGCAGTGCTATTAACACATGATTTCAGAGGCAGGATGTTATGAACTACTATAAGATCACCTGGGAGTTCAAGTCATGGACATGAAGTACGTACTTGCTACCAATGCACTGCCTTTACATGTTTGAACTTAACTATGAGGATTTTTAAAAAAGGACAAAAGAGAGAAAGATGTGACAAAATGGACAACTCCTGCAAAAAAATTAAGCAAGGTCCAAGCAATTCATTTATTCTGTTGTTTTCTAGTTCATATTTCTCTATTTCATATCTCACAGATGAAGTACAAGTAATGCTATCTGAGTGTCTACTGAGTACAGAAAGAATAAACAAACTGATCAAAGTAATCACACCTCTTTGACAGTAATAAAATATAACAATTTGAAAATTTAAAATTAAATAAACCAGAGTCTCAACTGGGCTAACATTTTGAGACCAACAGTTAAGTCTGAATGAACAGAAATAGTTTCCTTCAAAAGAGTTTCTTAATACTTTAGATGAATTTTTTTGTTGCAACATCTTGAAGTGCAATTATTTAAAAAATACACTCCTTTTTACATGGCTCCAGATAAAATAAATTCTAAATTATCTGGGATAATACATTTACAGAAATAGCTGCTTGGAACCTATCTTACTTGTACTGAAGTCAAAGGCAAAACTCCCCCTGATTTCAGGGAAAGATAAGGATCTGTATTCTCCCAACTCATGGCTTCCTGAAACAACCATATGGCAAGTGGTGCAGCAGATCTTGATTCAATTCTGAGTCCATTAATACAATGCATTTACTGTACCAGTAAACTTTTTTTTGTTATCATGCTGCAAATCTCTCTCTCTCTCTCTCTGTCTATTCAGATTGGATCTTAGAAATAGTTTTGGCTTTCAAACAGGAAATGAAAAATCTATCTTAGTGCAGAAGATGAATTTTACAGAAAGAGCCAGGAGGTGCAGAAGAGCCCTTCCCTCATTCAGATGCTTATTTTGTTAATCAGAGACAGAAGTGAAGTAATGGCACTGATTACATAGGATTATTGTAAACTAACCGTTAATATAAATTTATCATACAGGCCAGATAATGGTGATGTTTCAACATATAATTAACAAGATACTATCATTTTGTCAGGCCCTGTGTGAAGAGAAGTGCATGAAAAGGGTGTAGCATGAAAAGATTGCTGTTTGGAACACACTAGTCTGAGCCTTTGCTGAAAAGAGACAGAGCTGAGGTCTCCAGACACTGAACAGATGCTCAGAGAAAGGAACCTTGTTAGAAAGATAAAGAATCTTGTTCACATAAGGTAAGCAACTGAATTCGGTAATAGCAGTAGCAGCAGTAACAAGATTAGCTAAGAGCTTACATAACACCTGCCTAAGTGAGCATACAGTAATATTCAGACTTCATACATGAAGTGCTAAATTTTATGCTGTCATAAAAACATGCACTCTAGTGGATTTAAACCAAGGCCCAGTGTGGCAGACTAGAGCAAAACAGATTTATCACAGAGGGATATTCCCTAAGGATTTTTCTCTCAGTAACAAGCATGGGTTTAAAAATGAACCAGCATTGTTGGTACACAGTGTTTGTGAATTACGTTTTGGTGTCTAATGATACACATTAGGGCTGTTTGGCACAAAGCATAACAGTTGTTAAGTTCATGAAAAAGAGTTTGGCATAGTCATACATGGTGTTTCAACCCATCTGTCTGTCATATTACCCCTTTCCCATATACAAACACACACACACTGCAGAAAGAAGTGGCACATAGCATTCGCTTTTGTCAAGGTTCCTCCCCCACTCTGAACTCTAGGGTACAGATGTGGGGACCTGCATGAAAAAACCTCCTAAGCTTATCTTTACCAGCTTAGGTCAAAACTTCCCCAAGGTACAAAATATTCCCCCCGTTGTCCTTGGACTGGCCGCTACCACCACCAAACTAATACTGGTTACTGGGGAAGAGCTGTTTGGACGCGTCTTTCCCCCCAAAATACTTCCCAAAACCCTGCACCCCACTTCCTGGACAAGGTTTGGTAAAAAGCCTCACCAATTTGCCTAGGTGACTACAGACCCAGACCCCTGGATCTTAAGAACAATGAACAATCCTCCCAACACTTGCACCCCCCCTTTCCTGGGAAATGTTGGATAAAAAGCCTCACCAATTTGCATAGGTGACCACAGACCCAAACCCTTGGATCTGAGAACAATGAAAAAGCATTCAGTTTTTTACAAGAAGACTTTTAATAAAAAATAGAAGTAAATAGAAATAAAGAAATCCCCCCTGTAAAATCAGGATGGTAGATATCTTACAGGGTAATTAGATTCAAAAACATAGAGAACCCCTCTAGGCAAAACCTTAAGTTACAAAAAAGATACACAGACAGAAATAGTTATTCTATTCAGCACAATGCTTTTCTCAGCCATTTAAAGAAATCATAATCTAACACATACCTAGCTAGATTACTTACTAAAAGTTCTAAGACTCCATTCCTGGTCTATCCCCGGCAAAGACCCAGCATACAGACAGACACAGACCCTTTGTTTCTCTCCCTCCTCCCAGCTTTTGAAAATATCTTGTCTCCTCATTGGTAATTTTGGTCAGGTGCCAGCGAGGTTACCTTTAGCTTCTTAACCCTTTACAGGTGAGAGGAGCTTTCCCCTGGCCAGGAGGGATTTCAAAGGGGTTTACCCTTCCCTTTATATTTATGACAGCTTTGACATTCGTTTCTTTGTGATGTGGGCGAGAAAAGAAATCAGTTACACGCGTCTTTCTGACAGGTTTCATGTCTGTGTGTAGGAAAGACCCATTCAAGAGACGAAAGGGAGAACTATGGGATATTACAGTAACTATTCTTGTGCCTCTGAAGAGCAGACTGAAATTCTGAGTTGGAGCACAGTGAATATGAGTTTGGTAGTTGCTCCTGTTTATCTATAGGACACAACTCCCAAACTGCTTGCTATACCCAACCATTTCTGTTCCAGAGAGGCGCAGCACTTGAGTACTGTAGCAGGACGGTTGTATAGCAGGACTGAATGCATTAGCAAAGCTAATGGGGAAGCTTTCGGAACACTTGCCTGCAGTTCAATTGTCTCAAAGTCAGGGCTGAGTCACTCACTTTTCTGAGCGCTAAATACATCCACAAATGGTTTAGAAAAAGTAGAAATGAGCAAGGGATTCTCAGTTGACAGCAAATACTAGTACCAAGTAGAAACATTTGGTACTTTCCAAACGATGGGTTATTTAGAGGACCACAGGGATGAATCAATATTTTGATATCCATGTACCATCTCCCTGCAGCTAAGCATAAAAGGCTGCATCAAAACCAACTAAAGTTAATGGGAATATGTCCATTACTTCAGTGGGGTTTGGATCAGGCCCAAAGAAAGTGCCATAGTCTTAGAATTATTGACAGATTTGTTACCAGATCTTGCTGGCTGGCTGAAGCAGTAATTTGCTCTTCCTTCCTGTATTGTCTGAGGCATAACATTGGGTAGAAATTTGATTTCACTGAAGTTTCTCTAGCTCCCAAACACATTCAACTACTGCACTTGTCACACAACTTTTCTACGGATGTGCTGTACTAGCCTGAGACAAAGCCGACTGAAGTGAATGGAAAGTTTCCCACTGATTTAAATGTGCCTTGGATCAGATCCTATATTTCCGAGTCACTGTTGTAAGACATCAAATTGGAACACAACTCTCAATGAAGATTTAAATACAAAAACACAAGGATTCCACCTCTGCACATTGTGAAGGTTTTGTAATATAAAACAAAGCTTGGTTGGAGAAGTATGATTCTGCACACAGCACTGCTGCTGTCCTTTCTCCTGTGGCTGAGGAACTTTCCAGCCAAGAAAACATCCTAGAAAAGCGGCTTTGTATCCGGTGACTCTACCTACAAAGCTAATGGTACTAACCTGCAGCAAGTACTCACTGGATCATCCCTTCCATCAATGAGCAAACTGTTACAGAACACAAAATCTCCTGTAGAAATAACAAGGACCAGAATCCTTGCAGCACATGTTATTATGAAGATATCAAGCGTGTTGACACCATCTATGCTGGTCTAATTTTATCTAAATTAATCTCCTCCACAGATGTGACAAAGGGCAGAGAAATCTAGAGGAGGCCAGGAGCAGAACTGGGTGAATTGTGTGTGTGTGTGTGTGTGTGTGTAGGGGCGATATATAGGCCTGAAGGAGGTAGGCGCACAATACCCATTAACTTTCCGTGGGAAAGTACTTCTCCCTAAGGTGCTTTTAAAAAATCCCACACTGAATTGTGAATATGTCCACTAGATTCAGCTTGTGATCTGATCCAATCACCCATGGTCCAGACCCTGGTTTTTCTGCTTTTCCATGAACATTCATTCAGCCAGTGTGTTTTCAAACACATATGTGTGACTATGGGTATTTTGTGCAAATGAGCATATTCCCATGACAATAAATCGTATTTCTGACTTGCCCTTGTACAGGTGGGCAGTATGGGGAAGGCCCTTGCCCTGCTTGCTCCCATCCCACAGGAGAAGCCAGTCACAGTGCTGTCCCTATACTCTACCAAAGGTAGAGCATGCTCCCTAGTGCTAACCATGAGAGTGCCTGCTGCCTCAGAGTGGGAAGGAAGGAGCTGAGGCCCTCTGCTTCCTGAAATTCAAGAAGGAATATGCCTCCCTGAGGCACCATATCTCTCAGAGGTCCACCTGGGGAAATGCTGTTCCGCCCTACTTGTAATCAGTATCTATACCTATCACACACAATCTGGCCCCCTCTCTCTTTCTAGTGTTCCTATTTTTCTTCCTTCATCTTATGACAGTGCTGTTGAATGTTGAAGAGACAATACTTGGCTTAGATCCAGCCAGTTATTTTTCTATAATTTAATTCAGGTTCTGAACAGCTGGTCAGAATGTTTTGGATAACAGGCAGGTCATAAATCTGCCTACCTGTGGCTCTTTAGGCTGGTGTAGCCATATTTTGTTCTGAGCCTATTTCCAGCAGGTTAACTGCTGTCAATATAATGTATTCAAGAAAACTTTAGAGAATAATCCAGGCAATTCTTCAATTACTTAGTGTGCCAGTTTAAGTAGGAACAACAGCTGTTTATGCCGGCAAAAAAATATGAACAAGGATGCAGTGAAAAAGAGGATTTATCAAAATACTTGGAGATAACTACCTGGTGATATCAGAACAGCAGACGAAAACAACGCAATCTCTTCCTCAGTCAGCTGTAAGGAACATAAATTCTTTGCAAAGTCAAACGCTTCATTCACCAGATCATCAGAACCTACAGATCACAGAGAACAAAGTCAATGCTAGAAATTTATCAGCTCTTTAATCTGCCTTGAAAAGCTGCTTGTTTTGATGTCAGGAGTGCGCGTGTGTGTGCGTGCGTGCACACATCTGAGTGAGAGAGAGAAAGAGTGCAAGTAAGTGAGCAAGTGTTTTGGTTAGGTGAACGCTTTCATTGACTGCTGAATTTGCACTCACATGGAATGTGAGGCTATTTAAAAAGTAGCATTTGCAGCTGCATATCACTAGAACTTTCAATGAATCAGTATCTATTCAGTAAAAAGTGTGAAACACTCTTTCTCTGAAAACTCCAAAGAAAAAATCAAGGAAAAAAAAATGTCTTTTGCAATGTCACACAGAAATGTTAGCCAAGAATTTTCTTTCTCTTTATGAAAGAAAATCTTGTTTTTGAAACCAAAGTGACATCTACAAAAGGAATCTGACTAATACAGAACAGCGATCTCCTACAACATCCCATCAATAACAGTATAAGATAGCCTTCTTAGAAGTTTGGGGGAAAACATGCTATGGGACAAAGAAAACCAGCTAAACATACATGGAATGTTTATATATGATGTATATGTAAGCAATGAGCTAAATATTTATTAATTACTACCAATATTGAAACCTTCATTGGCTTTGGTTCTGATTGCTGAATGATTAACAGGTTAATTATTCTCACAACCAGAACACTGACATAATTTATAAGGTAACACTACAAGCAAGGTAACAGTCATCATGCATGTTACATATAGTGATGAGGAATTAAACAGTTGCTCTACCAAACGAATCAGAATGAACCTGAGCTTTGCCTGAATCTTTCTCAAGCTTCAGAGTATTCTGGATAACCCATTGGTGCCCCCTCATGACCTTTGTGGGATCCATCCATCCATCTGCCTCTGCCAAGAGGCCAAAATAGACTTCATCCACTTATCCGTTCTGCAACATTCACCTTCCTTCCACACGGGTTTCAATATTGAAACCATTCTTTTAGCTGATATCATGCTGATATTACACACCAGTGCAAATGTCAACCACAAATGAGGCTGGGATCACTATAGGCCAAATTCTGAAATCATCATTCATATTTTATTCAGTCCTTACGTGGCACACTGCCAAATTGTATCTTGCAAACCTCCCATTGCTCCTTTTCTATTAGGGAAAAACAGCCTCCTACTGCTAGCAGCTATTGGAGTTACTTTGTGAGCTTAAATGGCAGTTCCCTGTTCTTCAGTGCTAAAGGTAAAAGATTCAAAAGCTGCTAATGACTTTTGGTTGGGAGGGTGGTTATATTTAGAAAGGTAAGTCTCCCACTCACTCCAGAATTTGGCTCACTGTAATGGATGAAAATAAAAAAGGCAAACCTACCCAAAGCTTTGAACATTTGCATTCCTCCATACTTTCCTTCAAACAAAACAGTGTTGTTGAGTGGGTTGAAGGCACGGCACATTCTCACCAAAACCACTTCCAAGCAGCCTGTTGGACAAGGAAAGAGTATGAAAACTACACATACTTCGTTACTGGGATGTTTCAAGGCACTTTTGAAAGCAGAATGTATTAAATTTCAAAAAAGTTTCTTGCAAAATACCAATGAACAGAAACAACCTTCTGCACAAATGGTGGGATTTACAGCGGGGCTTTTAAGCACCTAAGTCCAATATTATGTGCCACTGGCATTCACAGTCACTGGCCTGCTCAGCAGCCCCCTAACCCTGTAAGTGCCTAAATCCCTAAGGCCCAGATCCACACAGGTATTTATGTTTCTAACTTCCACTGATTTCAACAGAAGTTAGGAGCCTAAATATCTTTGTAGATCTGGGCCTAGGTGCCTAACTTCCCACTACTGAAGTCCCCAAGGTGCCTAAATGTCAGCAGCGGGGCATTTGCACACCTGCCTAAATCTTGACACTGCACAGCAGCGTGGTGTCTAACTCACGCTGAAACCTGAGGTGGGATTAGAAGTAGGTATTCCCCACCTTTTGGGGGGCTCAATCTGGTAGACGTGCTCAGAGCATGTTGAAACTCACACAAAACAGGAGGGAGAGGATGTTGTGCCCCCTCCTTACGGCCTTTAGCCCTCCCCCAGGGCATTGAACCTGGGTCTCCTTTCCCAGTTCCTGGGTCTCCTTTCCCAGTTGAACCTGGGTCTCCTTTCCGCTCTACTTAGTGTGGAGCAGGGATTTGAACGTGGGTTTCACGTCTCCCAGAAAAAATGCCTTCACCCCAGGGCTATGGGATATTGTGGGACAGGCCTCTCTCCGTCTCTCTTGTTGAAGCTGTTCCACTTTGATCCCCAGGCTCCATTCCTGCTATGCCAGTTCATATTTAATTATTTGTAAAAAGTTGATCAACTTCAACAGGAGAGATTTAGAAAGCCCCTGCCCATAATATACCATAGCCCCAGTGGCTGGGCTATAATGTAGGACACCCCAGTTAAAATCCCTTCTTCATATCAGGCAGAAGTGGAGCTGAACGGAGGGCTTCCCATCCCAGATGAGTGCTCTAAGCACTGGGCTAAAAGTTGTAATAGTGGTTTCTTCCACCACCACTATCGAGCCCTTCACAAGTGCTAGGAAAAAAAATCTATTTTCAGATTTTGTTTTGTTTGACCTGAAATAGAATTTTTCGATACACTGATATTTTTCACAATTTTTTGATTTTCAGTTTTTCTTTTTTGATTGTTCAGAAATGTTATCGAACTGAAAAATCCACTGTTTACCTAGCTCTACCGTAAAGTTAGGTGCTGCAATATGGAGTGTTGCAGCATCTATGTCCCCCTTGTGAATCCCACTCAAACACCACACCACAACCTACACATTTGCTGATGGGATCTGAGTAGGAGACAACTCACCCTCCAATCTCTGCCTCTGCCACTGACCAGAGAAGGAAGCAATTCATGATCCAGTCCCATTTCCCTTCCGTTTAGAGCTCCACTTTTTCTAGGGGGAGTGCATATTATCAGGCCATCCCTAATTTCAGTAGTAGAGCTAGTCAAACATTTTCTGATTAAAAGTTGTTTTTTTAAAGGGTTTCATTAAAAAATTTTTACATGAAAGTTTTTGAAAAAGCATCCCAAATTTTTCTATGAAAAGAAAAAAATTAGGACTTTTTTTCTGGATTTTTTGAAGTTTTTCCATTTAGATATTATGGGGGTTTCCACACTTTCTGATAGTTTTCCAATGTTTGCTAGTTTGAAAACTGTAACAAAGTGTTTTCTGACAGTAAATTAGCTTAAAAGTGGAAGTTCTACTTTTAAATGTAAAAAGTGTTTCCCCCTACACACACTTTTCCACACTATTTCCATGATGTTTTCAGTTGGAAAACTGTAAGAAAGTGTGAAACGTAGGCTTCCCCCCTTTCTCATAATGGAAAAAGAGGGGAAACAGTCAGAGGGTGTGGAATGCAAGGGGGAAAATAACACTTTGTCACATTTTTAAACTTTACCACAGAGAAACCAGAATTTCCTCACAGGAAAAATTCAAAGGGGGATTTTTGAAGGAAACTGTGAGAAAAATCCCAGAATTCTGGCTAGCTCTGCTCAATATTAGCAGCATGAGGGGCAGTAAAACCTTAGCAGTTTATACACTCTGTAGCTAATTAGGGTTCTCTTACAATACATTTTATGTCCAAATGTCATTGAATCTTTTTTTGAAGTGCTCCTGTTTCTTTTGCTTTACCAGTCAAATGAATACAGTTGTTTAATGCAGAAGCTGGATTGTTAATAAGGATATTATTAATTATTCTCATGCTAAGAGCCTTCTTTTCCAGGGAATTTTCTGTATTCCTGCTGGTCCTCTTATTTTTCTGCAGTTTGCACCTGCCTCCAGCATCTTGGTCCCATATTACAGCCACAGCCTTCTGAGCAAGGACTGGATCACACTACCTCTTTCAGAACTGCCTGAGAGTTCTCTGTTGAATGACACAAGGCACTTCTCTAGCTCAAAGAAACTGCCTCATGCTACATCCCAGCATCTGCCAGATCTGGGGACCAGGGTAGCACAGGGTAATGCAGTTAATAACCAGATGCAGCTTGTTTGATAATACCATTTGGTCCTACTGAGTGACATGAAGTTATTGCAAGCTCACAATTCCTAACAACTAAATGTCACCAGAGTGCATCTTAAAATGATTATTCTAAAAGAAGGGCGGGACTTGCTGTGTGACATGACAGAAAAACTACCCCCCCGCCCCCCCATACACACACCACAACACGCACACGCACACAACAGTGTCAATGCACGCTGCCGCAACCCAACCACGCTCACTCCAGTATTAATTATCGCCCACAGGGATTTCTCCTACTAAGTACTGACATAAGATTATAGGTATTGCTGTAGCATCATTAAAATGATTAGAGTTGACCAGAGAGGCCAGAGGGCCCAGTTTGCATGGATTTGACTAACTAAAATCAAGTGGTGGTTTTAGAAGCAGCAGTTTGGTGATTCAAGCAGCTCAACTCAATAATACCTTACACGGCATGTCAAGCTGGGGCTTGTGGCTTCTGCAATTAACAGTTAAGTTTTTCTGTAAATGAAAAACACAATTGACTTTAGAGGGAATGGGATCTGAAGACATGAATGTTATTAACGCAGAAGATCACGTAGGGTTTACATGTGTGGGGAGGCAAGGTTGTGATGGGGAGAAGTAAGGTTATTTGAAGAGAGAATGACTGACGAAACCACTCACCTGATTTAAGGAGTAGAATTTGATCATTTTGACAGAGCTCCATGAAGCCTGTTATCCGCTTTGCAAACTCCACTACGTACTGAATAGCATGAGTGATCTGGATGGCACACTGCTGCCACAGTGCTTCTCTTGCCTTCCAAAGGAAATATGCAATAAAAAATAAAGCAGTAAGCAACCAGAATGTTCAGAGGCAAAACGACACAATGCTGTGTTACACAAAGTGTGCAATTTAGATTTTATAATAGACAGAGCTGGTAACTCCACTTACAATCAAGGTGGCCTGACTCTTCTCATTATAAGATCCTATTTGCAGTTGCTTATAACTTTGCCAAACTTTAACTGTTTGGGCTGAAATTTTCCATGCTGGGTGTCTGCCTCTGGCTGAAGATTTTTTTGGAAAAATTCAGCCAAATCATGTCAGCCTTTTACAAGAACAAGGCTAATGACAAATACGTTGTTTTGCTCATGTACATTTTTTTTTTAAAAGCTCTAGTACCTCCATGCTTTGGAGGAAGGACATGAAATCTGGTACTTTTGACTCTCTCTCTGTTTGCCTCAATTCCCCATCTATAAAATGGGGATAACACCCTCTCACCTGACAGGGATGTTGTGAAAATAAATTCATTAATATATGTGAAGTCCTCTGAAACTATAGTGATGAGAACCATAGAAAAGCTCATGAAGAAATTAATAGTTCTCTTTTCAGAGCAAGGTTTGGCTAGAGTGCAGTAAACAAGGTGTAGGGAGGGCTGCACATTGAACAAGGAGGAGAAAAGAAAATATTGAATAGCTGCTCATTAAGGGAGCACTGTCATTCTGTGCACTGGATTTCTCAAGCTCCTGTGGAAAAAAAAGTATTTGAGAATGTAATTAAAGACTGTATCATAATTCAGACATACAAGGGAGGGAGGTGAATTAAGATTGCACAGGCTTAAAGCTGGCATTTCCCAACTTTTGAGTGCTTGACTTGGAAACCTTTGTGATGTTTAAACATAGTTTTTTGTGTAATATATATACAAAATATATATTGTATTGTATTGTATATATATATTACACAAAAAACTATGTTTAAACATCACAAAGGTTTCCAAGTCAAGCACTATATATATATATATATATATATATGGGCTAGATTAAAAAAAGTAACAGGAGTGGTGATGTTGAACATTGCCACACCGATCTTTCAGGCACCTAGAAAATCCCTGGGATTCACAAAGACCGAGTTCAGCAGTTAGACTCCCTATATAATGAATAGGGGGAGTTAGGCACCTCAGAGTGGAATTCTTGACTAAGCTAGCCAATGGGAGGTGCCTAGCCAAGGGATGTGTGCTAAGCCCTGCCTCTCTCTTGGAGATAGGAGCCTCCCTCTGTTTGGGATTCTCAGTCTCCCCTTTCAAAGCTATTGTATTGTGGATGCATAATGAAGGAATCATGGTGGGGTGGGGTGGGGAGAAAGTGCAAAAGCACTAAATGACTCTGTAGCCTGCTGGTTAGAGTAATCATGTGGGAGACCTAGGATCCAGTCCCCCTGCTCTAATGACTTTTTAAATTGTTTATCCACAGTGGAACAGCTTCAGCATGAGAGACTGAAGAAGCCCTACATCAGAATATCCTATAGCATACTGTTTAGAGCACACACCGCAGAGATGGCAGGCCCCTGTTCAAATCCCTTTGATTCCTCAGGTGGTGGGGGGAGTTGAATTGGGGGGGCTCCCAAATCCAGGGTGGGGGGAAGTACCCTAATCAAACATTATGAGAGAGGTCTTCTACCACCCAGGTGTTTGGGGTAAGCTCATCTAGAGGGTCCCGCTCTGATAGGAAAATTCTGAGATCGCCTACCAGATCAGGAACTACAGGTGGATTTAAACCAAGGCCAAGTGTGACAGACTGCAGCAAAACAGATTTATCACAGAAGGATATTCCCTAAAGATTTCTCTCTCAATAACAAGCATAGGCTTAAAAATGCAACAGCATTGTTGGTTCATGCCTCGCTCTGGGCCTTAGTCCTCTGGATGCCTGGTATTGGGTTGCAGTCTGCATGCACAGAGACAGAAACCCATGCATCTACAGAAAAAAATTCTGCACAAATTAGGGTGCTGAACAAATTTAGGTGCTTATGGGGTTTGGCAGTAGCTGAGTGGGGGTTCTGTGAACCCTAGTAGGGCCTGATTCTGGGATTTAGGCACCTAAAGTGGCAGTTAGGTGCCTAAGTCCTTTTGTGAATCTAGCCTATATCTATCTCTTTCTACATATAGATATAAATGAATGACAACTAGGCAATGCAAATATATTGCTAGCAAAGGAAATAGACTAATGCTATTTAGTCACCTTGTTGAACATTTCTGCTGGGTTTAAAACCTTTTCAAAATACCATTAAAGTGTAATTACAGTCAGAATAATGACCCCACAAAATCGGGACCTTCTTGTTCAATTTATCACCTTTGTGTGTGTGCATGCATGTGCACAAGTGTATCTTTGGACTACATCTGCCACAGGTGAGTTTCGACTCCTGTTATCATTGAGGAGCCAACAGAGCTTTACAGAGTGTGTTAAACTCTGCATTATCTACTGTAGACAGGTGATGGAGATTTACTTTCTTTGCAATAAAAAACACTCATTTTTCCACATGAAAATGGGGACAGTTTTAACAGTTGTCATAAATATGTTAAACAAATCTATCTTCTGTTTTGAAAACTCTTCCAATATATGGAGTCCAATCCTGTTCCCAATAAAATCAACTGCAGTTTTGGGAAAAGATCAGGCCCATGGAAACAAATAATTAATATGGGAGGCTGATTTTATCACCGTTTTCTTTTCCCTGACATTATGCTACTAGCATACACACTAGTAAGCTGTTATTTCTGTTTTAAAATGCCATTCTCACATCTTCAGTTGCCAAGTTTTTCTAATATCAAACTGCTATTTCCCACCCCAAAGGTTTAAAGCTTAACTGGATATTGATCAACAAGTCCTTGCCAAATATAGTGCACTGAATCACTATAAATCGCAAGGAGAAGGGGAAGCAAGAGAAGTAGTGTTAGGGTATTGTACCTTGCTCTGGTATACTTTAATTTCTTCATACGTGTGGGTTTGCCATGCTAGCTGGTGTAGTTCATCCATTGTATATTGACACGTCTCCAAATGGGACTTAATGATATTCTGTGCAATTCGATCTAAGAAATGGGGGGAAAGCAGAAAGTCACAATGAATAGTAATTTGCAATAGCAAAATTTTGAAGACATAAATGTTGCGGGGCATGATCAGTAGACAACAATATATTTTATGGCATTAGGTGACTGGACAATATCACATTTATCAATGTTTTCGTATTTAGCTAGTTATCGTCTGAGCTGTGGAAATGTTCCTTATTAAATCCAGAGCCACAAGAAATTTGCTTGGTTGTGGATTACAAAATTAAAAATAGCCAGCCTTTGGGTGAAAATGTACCCAGTTAAAATTGGAAATGAAAGTTTTATCTGTATCCGGATAGGCACACATTTTTAGAAATCTGTCATGGCAAAAGCAGTAGTTTTGCTAGCATGAAGTGATCTGGGTGCCTAATAGCTGTGGAATGGGTTAAAGCAGACCATTGATCCTGGCTTGTTCAGGTAGTGTTCTGGAGGAGAAGAGGTGAGTCCCATTTATAGTTTTAGAAGGAAACCACGTGAAAATTCACTTGTTATCATGGTTTTACCCAGAATTTAGACAAAGCCTAGCAGTCTCACTTTAAATATTTCAGGTTAATTCAATCTCCAAACTCAAATTATAACTGAGTGGAAAAAAATTCCCCTCTTATTCCCCCTTATACATGTGTTATTCAGAGTTACTTCACTGACTTCAGTTGAGATACTGTGGATTTACACTGGTTCAAAGCAGCATTCAGCACAAGAACATTTATCACTTCCCAAGAAATTGCATAGTCCATTTGCTGTTGCTGTACAACCAAGATGTTAGAAAAAATTTCCCACATACTTATTGATCAGGCTCAACAATGAATTAATCTAATATAAATTATACTTAAAAATAAACCAGACTATAATTACTTACTCACGTCTATAATATGTTTATAACATTTACTAATCATTTAACTCTTTCTAAACCACTTATAAATGAAGAGTTAATAAACAGTTTGACCATTATAGATAGTATATAAATGTGTGCATATACAATATGTATAATACTTGTACAAAATATATGTGCTTGTATTTTATGCATGCACACACGTGTGTGCACACACACACATTCTCTCAACTTAATAAACAGCATGCTAAAAGATTCCTACATACCACATGGAAAAAATAGCTCCCTGAACAAGAAGGTCCAGTTCTGTCCAACCACTGGGCAGTATGCAGTGTGAGACAGGGAAGAATTTGCCCCACATTTCTGGTTTCATGTTAAAATGATGTTAACTTAGCTGAAGCAAGACTATGAAAATAGGGATTTATAAGATATGCCTTTGAAAATTTCCAGGGCATTTTTCAGGACTGAAATTTATTTGCTAAGGGTGTGGCAAGCGCTAAAGATTTTATTGTCTCTTCCCTTCTCTCAAGGGAATCAGAGAAGGCTGATTTTTTTTTAAAAAAGTGATTCAAAGAAAACAATTTTATAAACACCAAATCTCAGTTTTTATCCCCAGAAAATGAGCTATTTTTTCTTAAAAAGAAAACCAAAATTAGAATAATTAAAAAACACAAATCTGAAAGATTGCTCTGCTCATAAATAATCTCAAAGTACAACCACTTAAAAATGCTTTAGATTATGGTTAACTCCATTTGGGATTCTTTTTATCACTAAAAACTAGCAGGCTTCCATTTAATCCTTATTTAACTCACCCAAATATATCTCTATGTTGTAGTACATGCAGTCCAGGCTAAAAGATCAATCACTGAATTTAAACTCCAGCAATGTCTGGACATAATGGTGGTAAATTAAGGAGGGAGTCTCAGCCTGGACTCTGAACGGTCTTAACTCCTATGGATGTCATTAAGATATAACATTGAATACATTAATATTAAAGTAATGAGAAATAAGTATATGATGTTTGCTGGAAACATATTGAACCATAGCAAACCTAACTGCAGAAATTAAGCTCAAGATGAAGGGCTTGTTTACACTGAGGAGGATTTAACCAGATGGAACTGAAGTGCAGTCAACTTGTGAGACTGAAGTGCAGTCAACTAAAGTGCAGGAATTTATAAGTTTTTTTAATCAAAATATCTGACAGTGGAAACATAATTTTAACTTTGCATTTTTCCAGACTATGTTGCAAACCATGTTTTAGCCCCAAGCTCTTGGGGCTAGTATATTCATTTCCTTTCTACTGACTTCAAGTTCTTGCTTGCAGTTTTCATTGATTCTTCCTACCCCACCCTCCACCTTTCCTTATATGAAGCAAGAATTATTTATACTTTTGTTATAAAGAAAATAAAAAACCATATTACTGCATAGCCTGTAGAGGAGGTAGCTTATTGTTTTTCAGTCAGAACGAGGCACACTGAAGTTTAACAATGTGAAAAGAATATACACATGCTCTAGCATTATTTGCCTTGAAATACAAGCGTGGGTACCATAAGCTAGATGTAACAATCAAATCACTGCTCTCTTATTCTTTTACTTCCTCTTTATGTATTTACTTAGGATGAGCTGGTTCTGCGGCCATTCATATGCTCTTCAATATTTTGTGGGGCTGGCATCCAAGCGATAGCTCTGTACAGCTGTACACAGAACTGTTTCCCATATATTAATTGTTTCTTGAGCTGATGTTAAAACCTATCTAGGTGTATGAAGGCCTAGGGGAAACATGCTGCCTTCCAAAATGAACGAGGTGCAAAGACGGACTTGAAATTCTGGTGCTGCAGGCCAGCTAAGTCTGACTGTATCATAAAAAGGATATGCTTGGTCTCTGGGGAAAGGATCCTGACAGCTCCCTCTGTTGGCTGATTAGAAAGATGCATAAGCATCAGAGGAAACTGCTTGCCTGTTTTCAGAGATGGCAGTCATGAAAAGGAAAAGGGGATTAGTGTTAAAATGGCGAGTGTTTGGCTGATGGGTTTTGCACAAGCCATTGACAAGAGAGAGATGAAAAGTAAAAGTATGGGCTTTCTGAGGGACAAGCAACACAAGATACTTCAGGTAAAAAGAGCAAAGTGTACAGAATATCTTCGTGTCACAACACTCTAAAGGCATTACATCTTTCTGGGCATTTTTGGTGTCTTGGCCCTTTAGTAGGTCAGTCAGGGAGCCGCAATTGATGCAGTGTTGGGGCTGAACTGGAGATAATATCCTGCCAGGTCAGTAAGTGGCATGTCTGTCTTGTGATCTGGGGTGTAGGGCACGAGTTTAATGTATGGATTTTATCTAGCATACATTTGTGGAGGCCTCTACTTACCTCATTAGCCTTCGAACCAGTGGAATGGGGGAGTGTCCCATCAAAAAGACAAAAACCAACTGGTTCAGCAGTGCTGAGAAAGAGAGATGTTCATATAGCATACACGATAGCTCAGTATGAAACAAACAGAGCTGGAAGGAGGGAATGGGTCTCGTGGAAACAAATGGAGGGAAAGGGTCTCGTGGAAACAAATGGAGGGAAGGGTCTCGTGGAAACAAATGGAGGGAATGGGTCTCGTGGAAACAAATGGAGGGAATGGGTCTCGTGGAAACAAATGGAGGGAAGGGTCTCGTGGAAACAAATGGAGGGAATGGGTCTCGTGGAAACAAATGGAGGGAATGGGTCTCGTGGAAACAAATGGAGGGAAAGGGTCTCGTGGAAACAAATGGAGGGAATGGGTCTCGTGGAAACAAATGGAGGGAAGGGTCTCGTGGAAACAAATGGAGGGAATGGGTCTCGTGGAAACAAATGGAGGGAAGGGTCTCGTGGAAACAAATGGAGGGAATGGGTCTCGTGGAAACAAATGGAGGGAAAGGGTCTCGTGGAAACAAATGGAGGGAATGGGTCTCGTGGAAACAAATGGAGGGAAGGGTCTCGTGGAAACAAATGGAGGGAATGGGTCTCGTGGAAACAAATGGAGGGAAGGGTCTCGTGGAAAATACCGCAAAAAATCAAACTCTGAAATATTTTAGCTAAACCCGAACATCGTTCAATGCAATAATGCTGCCACAGTGCCTCATGAGAGTTGTAGTTTGGGGGCTTCATCTTTCCATTCTCCTCTATAGGCCAGCCTCCCTGGTCAGAGTACATCTCCCATGATTCACCGTGGGTTCACCTTCTTGAGACAGTGCCAAATTATTATGAATTGCTGTGATTTATATGAATGAATGTGATAAGCATGAGTTTTGTATGGCTTGGTATCCCTGAACTTGCTAGAGGATTCTGGGAGCAGAATTCTCTTAGCATTAGATAAATGATGTGGAAAACTACTGGAGGTGCTGAAACTGCACTTGAATGGTTAATAATGTCTCGATGGGCGTGTATGTTTCAATGTCGAACTTTGGAATATATCAGCAGAGAACCAGCTCACAAGGTAAAAAACACATACAATCATATGATCGATGGGCTTGGTGCAGGCTGACATGCGTCAAAATTACCCTTTTTGGATAACGTCACTCTAAGAGCTTAAGCGGGTGATTGATGAGAGGGTAAATGTTGATTGAGATTTGGTCTGGATCTGTTCTGCAGCCCCTCCTTCCAAAAATTAATTAGAGAAAACCAGTGACAAATGCCCATGAGGCATATTTCTGGGATATGTGACTCTTTTGAGAACAAAAAGGTATAAATGCTAAGCAAAGTATATTAGTTAAGTTAGTTCCCCAATTAACATCAGAAGAGGTTTGAGACTGTGAGACAGAAGTACTCGGGATGACCTAGACTCTGCTTCGGGTGACATTTAACAGATCCAGTACCTAAAAGGGGAAAGAAGAGAAGAAAAGAAGTCTCCGGCTAGAATTGGTAGGTATATCTGCCTTGTTTGCTAATCAGGATACTGTGTAAGGCAAACATAGTTACTGAGGATTTATGCTTGGGGAGCTAAGGCTTATAGGAAAAGACGTGCACTGTGTAACCTTAACTACTTGTGTGATTCTTTCTCAAATAAATTATTCTGCATTAAGCATATGGGTTTCCAGATTTCCACTGGTACGGGTAACATCTGCCCAGCCATGGGTCATTAAAGATCCGTTTCAACATTGGTAGCAGAAGATGGTTTACCATGCTAGT